CACCCATTCAGGAAATGCTAATTAAAACCACAATGAGATATTACACACCTATAAGAATGACTAAAATAAAAAATAACAGCAAATGCTGGCATAGGATGAAGAAAAACAGTATAACTCAGACATTGTTGGTGGGAATATAAAATGGCACAGCCACTCTGGAAAATAGTTTGGCAGTTTCTGATAAAACTGAACATGTACTTACCGTATAACCCAGCATTCTAAGTTGCACTCTAGGACATTTATCTCAGAGAAAAGAAAACTATGTTTGAACAAATTTATATATGAATGTTCGTAGCAAGTTTATTTATAATAGCTAACAATGGAAACAACCCAAGTGCCCTTCAGCAGGTGAATGATCATACAAACAATGGTACATCCATACCATGGAATACTATGCAGCAACAAAAAAGGAACACACTATTGCTATACATGGCAACTTGTATGTATCCCAAGGGAATTATGCTGAGTGAAGTTTGCATACCATATGATTCCATTTATATAACACTGTTGAAATAACAAGACTGTATAGATAGAGAATAGATTAGCAGTTTCAAGGAGTTAACATTGGGAAGGAAGTTGATAAGGATGAGTGTAGCTATAATGGGAGATCAGAAGGGAGCCTTGTGATGATGAAACAGTTCTGTATCTTGATTATGGTATAGTCACACTTATCTACACTGGATAAAATTGCATAGAACTACACACACACACTAGTATTATGCATGTGTGTGAAATCTGAATAAGCTCTGCGTGTTATATTAATAGCAATACCAATTTTCTGGTTTTCACATTGTACTATAGTTAGGCAAGATAATTACCATTGGGGGGAACTGGATGATGGATATTCAGGACTTCTCTGTACATTTTTTGCAATTTCCTAAAAATCTATAATTATTCAAAATAAAAAGTTTTTAAAAGATAATTCGTAATGAGGTTTAAAATTACACGTGAGTCAAAACTTGCAGTTATTCTTCATGTACACTGACATAATAATACCGTGGTTTTGCAAGATGTTTATAGCAACCCACACGTTTTCAGAATAATTTGTCCGACAGCAGAACTAAGCTTATAATATAGGTTGAGTATCCCTAATCTGAAGATTTGAAATCTAAAATGCTCCAAAATCTGAAATTTTTTGAGCATTGACATGACACCACAAGTGGAAAATTCCACACATAAATACTTAACACAAACTTTGTTTCATGCACAAAATTATTAAAAATGTTGTATAAAATTACCTTCAGGCTATGTATATGAGGTATGTATAAAACATAAATGAATCCCATGCTTATACATGGGCCCCATCCCCAAGATATCTCATTATGTATGTGTGAATATTCCAAAATCTGAAAAAATTCAAAATCTGAAACATATTTGGTCCCAAATATTTCTGATAAGGAGTACTTAATCTGTATAGAAATACAGATAGTGTAAGTATAGAGGCTAAAACATATGTATGTCGTTATTTCTACCTTATACATGTATTTATACATAAGTAATTATGGGTTGTATTTATCTTCATACATAATTAACACTAAATAAACATTGTTCTAAGTCAGTGATTCTCAAAGTGGGATCTGGGGACTCCAAACATGTTCAGTGGATCTGTTAGGTCAAATTGATTTACATAATAATATGAAAATGTTTTTTGCCATTTTTCCCCTCTTCTTCCTTTTGAGTGTTCAGAGAAATTTTCTAGAGGCTACATGAGATGTGATATCTCAGTAGATCAAATAAAGAAGCACATGAGAATCTAGCTGTGTTCTATTAGACAGACATTAAAAAGATTTGCAAAAAGGTAAAACAACACTACTCTTCTCACTAATTTTTTTTTGTTTTGGAAATTGTCATTTTTTAAATAAAT